ACTCTTTCCTTTTCTAAATTAGGCTCACCACTCCTCTTCCCACATCATTCAAGACTTCCTTTGTAACAAAAATAGAGTGCCCCCACCTAGTTCTTCCTAAAAGAGCCAATAATCTGAAAAATAAAAAAAAAATAAAAATAAAAGAAGTAACAAGGAGAGAAACCTAGACCTAATTTTTTTTCTTACAAAAAGTGATTAATTGAATACACGATGTAATCTTTGCTAAAGTTGTTTCAATCTTTCTGATAACTCTGTTGGGCAAATCACTACCCCATCTATGCAAAGACCACCTTTGGTGTGAGTGCAATCAATTTGGGCCAAAGAAAACTTGATGTTTGTTAGCCCATTGGGCTTCTCAATTGCGAAGTCTCCAACATAATAGTGGGCCCATTCTCCAGGCCCACGCAAATAGCACTGGGAGAGTGAACTCTGGCCGTCCGATGTAGATAGTTGAAATCTAACGGGCTTGATGTCCCAGCCATGAACTTGATCAACGTTGCAGACGCGCCGGCCCAATCTCTTTGAGGTTTTGCCCAATTGAAGCCTGAAAAATACACTATAGTTCCCTTTGGGAAACTCAAACTCTAGGTCCCCTATCACTTCAACCCACCACATTTGTTGAAGGTATGCAACACTCTTGAACCTGCATCATTTGAAACAAATGTTCAATAATCTTCTTTTATTTTGACTAATAGGGTCTTAAAAATGAAAATATTTGCAATGAGTAATGTATTCCTTAAAATTGTGATTTGGATCCCTTGTTCTACTCAAGAACTTGATAGGGTCATATTTGCACATAATATTTTTCTTAATTATAATAAGATAATTTCATCTTAAAAACAAAAAGGCATATGATATATTTTGATCTTTTAAGATTGAGATTTTTTTAATATATTTTTTTATTGCATTTTTCAATTTTTATCATGTTCAATCCTCTATTATACATTATTATGATAGAAGAAGACATTTTACTAGTAAAAGAGAACCAACAGAGGAAAGATGCTTCCGTTGTGTTTGGATATATGAAACCCAACTACCATGCCCTAAATATACAATGCTAATTAATTAAGACTACTTTTCCTTGAATAGAAGTCCCTTTAAGCTATTTCATAACATTTTAAAATGCAACTTGCTTGCACTCTTGTTCTTTGTTCTTTATTTATCTATAAGATGCTGACTAGGAAGAGTTAGTTGACAATATATAGTCTGAACTTTAATTATTGATCGATTACTTTTCCATACAAGTCATTCTCATCTTATTTAATAGCATTTCTCTAAATGCAAATTGCTAGCACTTTTGTTCTTTGTTCTTTAATTACCTACAAGATGTGAATGCTGACTAGGACAAATCGCTTTCCTGAATATGGTAAAGCAAATTGCCAACATGCTTTTTGAAAAAAATAAACCAAAACATGCCCCTTGTCAAGAATTTTCTATTTCAAGAGCCATAACAACAATTTACATTGTATTTGTTTGATAAAATTAAAATAATAACAATTTTTTTTCTGGTGAAAGTATTTCATTAAAGCATTTGCTGTTATATATGGTTAAATCACAGAGGATAATTTGTTTTGAATTGAATTATAGTGGATGTATGGTTCAACTTATTTTAATTTTTAAATAAATGAATAAATATTTGTTTTTATAAATCCTTCAAATAACTATTATTTCCCAGAAAATAAACTTTTACTATATGCGCGTAATTGTACTATAGAAGGACGCGCCATATGCATATATATATATATATATATA